AATATAGTAAGCCTTAATACAGACAATGATTCCTGCTTTACTCACTATTAGGATCTTTTAATGGCAATTCTACATCCATTCTGCATAAATCTTACACCACATTTTCTATGCCTAGAATACGTTGCTAGCATTTTTATAAGAATTGCATTAGATTAATAAATCAATTGGGGAAGAAATGGCATAGTCAATATATTGAGCCTTTTAGTCTGTGGCTCTGGATACCTTCAATGGGGTGATTTTTCCATCAGCATTTTGTTTTAGGAACTTACAGGCACCAGAGTAGGCAAGGCTTAGTGGAGGCAAGTCAGGACACAGGCTAGAGATAGCAAAGGCAGAGTGCTGAGACTAGACTGGGAGAGCTGCAAACAATGCTGCTGGAGTTAGAATTGATAAACACGCAGCTAGCCAGGAGTATTTACTGTCTATCCAGAAGTACTGAAGAAACACTACAAAAACAGCTAAAAATCCTAGTCCTGGTGTAACTTGGACTTAGGTGAGAATCCATAGATACCTATTAGGCATGGGAAAGGAAAGATAGAAGAGGATTGCTGTATCTTAGGCATCTAGATATTAGCCTCCACCAAAGTTAATGGCAGGACAAGGATCAGGAAGGGCTGTAGAAAAGAGCAAGACTCATTATTTTGAATATTCATGTGGAGCAGTGGAGACAGCTGACATTTAGATGGTGGGCATTACCATCTAAAGCTGAGGCCCTAGAGAGGGTAGAAAGGTGAGCAGGCTGAGAATAGAAGGGGCCGTCTTGTCTTTATAACAGAATCCCCCGGCCTGGTAGTTTAGAGGCTTATTGAGCATATTCTGTAGATGCTGACAGTGCACAGTCAGGGGGCCCTTGAGAAGGATCTTTTGTCTGTGTCACAGAATGTGGGATGTCATCATGTGGAGGGAGTGCCTGTGAAAGAGAGGCAAGAGAGGAAGCAAGAGAAAGCAAGCCACAAAGACTGAACTTGCTTTACCACAAGACATACTTGTGAGACCTAATCCTGTCTGGAGAGGCAGAGCTAACCTGTGACCTAAGCACCTTCTCCTGGGCTCCACCTCTTAACGGAGCAGTGCCACATGTTATACCACCTCTGCATCACCACACTGGAGACCAAGTGCCCAGCACTTGAGCCTTTCAGGGACAAGCCACACCCAAACCATATATCAGGCTGTGGAACCAGTGTTTCAGAAGGATCAAGCCTAGACACCTAGAAACTGCAGTCAAAGAAATAACAGAATCAAGAGAAACAAAGTATGCTGAAATCAAAGGGTAGAGTTTAAGGAGAGGAATACTACAGTCAGAAGCCACAGACAGGCTGTGTGTGGTGGTGCAAGCTTCTAATCAGCACTCTAGAAGCCCAGGCAGAGGATTTTGAGTTCAAGGCCAGAACATGCAACAAAGCAACCTGTTTCAAAGGAAAAACAGACATAAAGAATGATTAGTCTATGTCTCAATTTTCTATGGCTGCTACTGCTATGTATACCAAGTTTCCACTACCTTGATGGTTTATAAAAAACCCTGTTTATTATCTTATAGTTGTGGAGGTCAGAAAGCTCAGCATGGGTCTCACTGTTCTAAAATCAAGGCAACTGCAGAACTGTCATCTACTGGAGGCTCTAGGGGAAAGTGTTTACTTGCTTTTTACAGCTTCTGGAAATTTCCAGAATTTTGTGGTGCATGCTTTTTCTCCAAACACCCATGTTCTGGGCTAATTGCCAAGATCCTACTCTGATTCTCTGGCCTGCTTTTCCCTTATGAAGACCCACAGATAATCCTGGATGGTCTCCTTGTGGTCCTTAACCTACTCACATCTGCTAAACTCCCTTTGCCCTGAAAGGTGAAATTCACATGTTCCAGAAAGTAAGACACAGGTATCTGCTGGAAGGAGAGGCATTGTTTTGCATATCATAGTTTAGAACAAATGGTAGGAAAAATCTTAGTAGCTTTTTAAATCTGATAACACCAAAAACTGACTATAAAAAAATCAATGATTTGGGCTTTATTAAATAAAAACCTTTTGCTCTTCAAAAAAACATGGATAAAAAAATTATCCAACAAGCCAATTTGGAAGAAACTATTTGTAAAGACAAAAGACTCCATTTGCATAAAAATTTTCAAGATAGGAATTAATCTGTGATGGCAAAGAACAGGTAAAATTACCTGAAATGGAGGTACATTCACAAAAGAGCAAAGGGGACAAAAAAAGAATATGAACTAACTTTTACAGAAATAAGAGGAATATTCATTTTTTATTATATGATTGCGGTCATAGTTTCATGGATGTGTATGTATAACCTTCAACTGTACACTTACAATCCATATAGTTTGTTTTATGCCATATATGTGGACTTGTATTCAGGAAGAGAGAAAGAGGTGAAGGAGGGAGGTAATGTAAGGCTTGATGATCTGAAGGTTATTGACTCTACAGATCTAATCCATGGGGACCAGTATGGTTCTAAAACATCCCTGCAACAAAACACCTGGAAAAAAAAAACAGACGTAAAGAACAACATTCCTATAAACATAACCTTTTAAACAGTAGTTTAAATCTCTCTCTTACAAAATTCCCAAGACATAAAAAGTAGTTCAGAAAGAGCGAAGTACAGAAGTAAACGAAAACCAGCTATGTCAGTGATCATAAGAAATGCCCATGAGCTAAGTTCTACATCTAAAGGTGATTGAAAAAATGACTCTTGAAAACCCAGTTCTATGTTGATTATGAAAAATATACCTAAAGAAAATAGATTGATAATAACAGAGAAATATATGGTAGGCAAATTCTAACCAACAAAAAAAATGGATGTGTGTTTATCAGTGTCAGAGATGCTAGCCCTTGAAGTAAAAGCCTTTTTATGGATAATGAAGTTCACTTAATTACCCCACAGTACTGAAGGTGATGACAGAATGAAAGGAAGAAATCGACAAACTCTATGCTATAGTATAGTGGATGACCTCAACATTCTTAGTAACAAATTAATCTAATCATCACTGATTAAAAGACACAGTTCAGACATATATGAGCTATTTTTTAAATGTACTATGTTGTAGAGACACTTTCAACTAATTTCAGAAACTTTCTATCCCATAGATCACACTCCCATGATGTAATTTACTAGATATCGGACATGCATAGGCCAAAGAGGAAAATCACAATGAGAATTGGGAAAAAATTAGAAATAGCAAGATTATAAAAACATCACATATTAAAACAGTCATGCAACTAAAGTGTTTGGAAAGACAATGTGTTCTCAAAAATGAATGCTTTTTAAAAAGAAGGATCGTGGAGACTAACTGTGAATGTAAGGTGGAGTTCAGTGTCTGTGGGGGGGATTGCCAGCCAGAGCTGGGGAAGGAGCAGCACAGGCCAGGAGCAGGAGATGGCACTTAGTTGTCAGCCCCATTCTCAACTCTGCCAAGCCAGGTTTGCCATCAGTTTACCCCTCCCTGTGGAAACTCTAGTCCTGTGTTTCTTTCAGGAGAAATTCTAAACACCTGTCCTCTTGTTTGAAGCCTCAGATACTGACCAAATAAGACAATTTAGGAAGTATACTGACTGAGATGAAATAAAGAGAATTTGCCTACTCATGAGCATTTAATGGGATCCTCTTTTCACCTCTGTAAAAACTCAGAACCTCAACAAAAAGAATATTCTTGCCTGTAGATATGAGCCCTAGGCCAGCCCTGAAGATAAACCAGGAGTTACATGGGTTTGTGCTGACAATTCTGAGTCCTGAGTTGAATCAGGATGAAAGGACTGTGGTACTTTACTTAGTCTGTACAGGGGATGGGTTCTGGGATTCCGCAGACCTCAAGTCCCTGGAAGCTCAAGTCACTTGCGTATTCCTACAGAATTTGCACATATCCTCAAGTGATGTAACATCATTCCAGAAAATTCTATAGACACAATAGCCCTCCCACATTGTTTAGGGAAGAACCAAAAGGGTTGTACATGTTCAATACAGATGTAAATATTTTAAAAATCCAAGTGGATGCCAGTGGCTCATACCTGTAATCCTAGCTACTCAGAAGGGTCTGTTTGAAGCCACCCCAAGAAGGAAAGTTTGTGATACTCTAATGTCCAACTAACCACCAAAACCTTTCATCTCCAGTCTGAAAGTAGAAGTGTGGCTCAAGGAGTAGAGTGCCAGCCTTGTGCAGAAAAGCTAAGGGACAGCACCTTGGTCCTGAGTTCAAGCCCCAGTACTGGTATACACACACACACACACACACACACACACACACACACACACACGCACCACAAATTCAGTCCAAGGCTAGTAGACCCCTCAGATAAGGAGTTACTATATTCACTGTTCACAGTACCAAACTCTAATATTCAACCAAGTTCTTTTTAAAGCACCCCTTTGTATTTTAGTATCTGCACACATCAATGAATCCTACATGTAGTGTTCCAATGTTCTTGGCTAGACCATACCAGCTGCTTAATCTGGAAAGTTATTTTAGCTTTTTTTCCCTGGAGGCTTTTATTTTCATTGATTATGAGCCAGGCCTCTTGCTAAATGCCTGGAATGTAAGCTAAGGCTGGATCCTCCTGAGCCACACAGCAGTAGTCCCAGAGCCATCTCCACAGCCTCATGCTCCCTCCCTCACCTATGGTGTTGTGAGGTACAGTGCTGAAAGGGGGCTAGGTGAGAAACAACCATCTGACATTGTGATCACCAGAGTCCTCGCCGTTAGTCACTTGGAACTTGAGACTTCGGAAGTGTCCAGGACTAGAGCTTAACAATGCCAATGTGAATTGGGAATGAACCAGGAGATGCCCACCCATTGCAGTGTTGAAAGGATTGCTCCGACATCCCCTCTTAGGTCAGCTCTGCTGAATTCCCAGGATGTGGAGGTACAGGGTGGAACCATGGAAGCCACTAGCCATTCAGCAGGAGCACTCTGTAGCTTTCCCAGTGTTCTCATGGCTGTTGCCACCGTTTTCTGTACGTGTCAGGGCGTGTTCACATCACATTTCACATGTCCACACTCCTACATGACCCAGAAGGTATGTAGGCAGCAGGCTGCTAGTCCTGCTGAGCTGCCAGGTGCTGACACTCCCTGCGATGGATTCCTGGCACTGCCTGCCTCTGCACCTTCTTTCACCTCCTGAAACACCACAGAACAACCTACACCTCCCCTTCTCAAGTGGTCTAATTTTTAGTGTTTTCTTTCCTATTCTCAAATCCTTCCTTCTTTGCAATCACGTGAAGCTTCCCTTATTCTGATATTACTGATTCCACCCTGCCTCTTTATTTAGGACTAACACATATCGCGTACTTTGGTGTTTTTTTCTTCTCTTAGTTAAGGAAGCTTAAAAGTAGTTCAAGCTAGATATCTATAATCCTAGCTATTCAGGAGGCTGAGATCTGAGGATTAAGTTTTGAACCCAGCCAGCATAGGCAAGTACACCAGACTCAAACCTCCAAATAATCAGCAAAAGAGCCAGAAGTGAAGCTGTGACTCAACTATTAGAGTGCTAGCCTTGGGCAAAAAAAGATAAAGGACAGCATTCAGGCCCTGAATTCAACTCTCTCCCCACCCTCACCCCCATCCCCACCCCCAACGACCCCACCCTCCCACCCCACCCCCAGCACAGGCATACACAAGAGAATAGTTTTCCTTTGATAAATCTTGCAATAGTCTCAGGAAAATGATACTTGGGAAGGTACAAGATTTATGAGGAGTCCTGGCTAGAAGTGGGTGAGTGCTTGCCTCACTCCTGGCCTGGGGGAGTTGGGATTTGATAATTGAATCTCACATGCAGTGTTGCCTCACAGATGAGGTCACTGTGTGTGCTGAGATGTGCTACAGCTACCATGCCCAAGGGAAGAAGCCAGGCCCCAAAGAACATACTACAGGATCTGTGTGTGTGCGCAAATCCAGATGGTGACAAAAGCAGGTCACTGGCCAGGGGAAGGATGGGGACTTTGGGGAGAATGAAAACAGATGTCTCTCCTGGTGGTAGGTACACAGGTGTGTACATTTGTAAAACTCTCATCTATACACTTCATAGCTCATTCAGCTGATCAAGAAATGTACACCCAAGGAAGAAAATTCTGCAAAGTTCTGCACTCTCGAAACTATCTTTGGCATTTATAACCGCCCAAAATGTGTTTGCAATTTCAAGGCTTCTTTTTTGCTTTCTGGTTTTGTTTTCTCTTCAGGGACTCAAACTCAGAAAATAGTTTTAAGTGAAAGATCATTCCCTATTAACCAGCTGTTTGCCTAAGAACACACAGAACACAGATCACAACATATATGAATCTGTTCCCTCTTGCTGAAAACATGAAGCAGACACACACTTCCTCATGATTCGGCAGTCTATTTATACTACTTAAATTGCACATACTTGCATGGCCTATTTTCTTTTGTGTTTTTGAAATTCTATTGATTTTCTCATGAATATGTGTGTGTGTGCACGTGCTGGTACTGGGACTTGAACGCAGGGCCTCATCTTCCCCTTAGTTTTGTCACTCAAGACTGGTACGCTACCACATGAGCTACACCTTCACTTCCAGATTTTTGCTGGTTAATTTGAGATAAGAGTCTTGAATTTATTTGCCCAGACTAGCTTTGAGCCATTATCTTTAGGTCTCAGCCTCCTGAGCAGCTAGGATTACAGGCGTGAGCCACCAGCACCCAGCTTATTCTGACTTTTAATGTTTTTTTTTTTTTTTTGTCCGTAATGGGGCTTGAACTCTGGGCTTGGGCGCAGTCCCTCAGCTCTTCAGCTGAGGGCGAGCACTCTACCACTTGAGCCACAGTGCCACTTCTAATGTTTTTTTTTTCTTTTTGCTTATGTGGTGCTGAGGAATCGAACCCAGGGCCTCTGGCATTCAAGGCATGCGCTCTACCACTGAGCCACCTTCCCAGCCCTGTTTTGTTTTTTATTTTAACTGTGTGGTAGCTACATTTTCTTCCACTATTTTCATTTGGTCTTGTCACTTATTTTCTGTTAATAAAGGTAGCTCCTCATACTTAACTTCCCCTCCTGGGGCCATACAGGGAACTGACGAAGTGCTGCTCAGCAATTCCAATGAGGCAGGCATGGCATAAACATGTGTGTAGATGTCCTTGTGTCTTGTTTCTGACTCTTTTCTTCCTGCCCTTCCAGACCCCAGAGGCACGTGCACACCTGTCAGGTGAAGGTGAGACTGAAGATAACCAGCTCCCCCGACTCCCTACAGAAGCAGAAGCAGAAGAGCAGAACTGGAGCCAGGAAACAGATGGTGATGATTTTGAGACATTGTCCCATCAGAGTGAAACTCGATCAGACACAAAAACTGACCCCTTTGAGAGTGCCTCTGACACAGAGTCCCTCGCCGGCAGTGCCTGCCTCTCTCCAACTGGTCCTTCCAGAGACACAGAAGCAAGCTGGAAGTGTCCGGATGCCCCAACAACTAGACCACCTCAGGATCAGCCTTTGACCAGTGTCCTTGGGCTTGATGCAAAAGAACTAGACTTGTCCTCTGACTTAAAGGAAAAATTGGGCAAAAATGAGTCGCTGTCCTTGGCTGACATCACTAGCGGAGGGGAAGAGTCCCTCTGGGACTGTGTGACCAGCCTGGATAAACTGCCTCTGCTATCAGCGTGCGCCTCTCGGGATGTCACAGGCACCCGCAGTCCCCAGTGGGCACAGAGGGTGACGGATCAGGACTTCAGAGAACTTCGTGCTGTGACTCTCCAGAAATCCAGGTCTGAGAGCTGTCTGGGCATCCCTGGGGTCTGGCCTTGCCTTCTCCAGTGCCCTGAACCAGGCTGGAGCTGGCCACATATCCGCAACAGGACAGGGGTAGCAGCTCTACCTCACACGGGCCCACTGGATACCACAGCCCCTCTGCAGGCACCAACAGAGAAGGGAGGTACTCTGCCCCCTACAGGGGACACAGACCTGTGCTGGACCCAGCCCTGCTTAGATGAACACTGTTGCCCTCTGTCAGGTACACCATGCCTCTCACAAGTCAAGTGTCACCACTGTACCCCAGAGAATACTGTTGACAGTGGCAGGGCACCCCCAAGGCCTCACTGTGGGAAGATTAGGGCACTGGCCAGAGCCCATTCCATTACAGAGTTTCCTTTTGTTTACCCTGAAGATCAGGTAGGGCTGAACTTAAGGAAGCCTGGGGTCCAACGGAAAGAAAAGACAGCAACAGGAAACAGCCCAAGAACACAAACCACCCTTTTCCCAGTGCCTACCCATCAGCCTTGTGTACTTCTGGATTCTCACAGAGGGGTTCCCAATTTGCAAGGTCAGTACCAGCCCAGTGAATGCAGCTTGGAAAAGGACTTTCAGGACACACCTTCTGTGGCTCTCCCACAAGAAAACCAGTTGGAGCAGGGCTATACGTCATGCCCAGCCACTTCAGGCCTTACTTCAGAATTGGTGCAGCGTGGAGGCTGGGAGGAAGTGCCGGGGCCTGCTGAGCACAAGCTGGGACACAGCTCAGAAAGCAGACCTGAGGAACCTCAAGGCACTGGCCTGGCACCAGGCCCTGCTGATGCGGGTGATAAAGAAAATCACCTGCAAGACATTTTTGTCCAAGCAGAAAACCAGGCCAGCCATCCCACATCCAGGTGTGTTCTCAGGGAGGATAGAAAACAACTTCCTAGCTCCAACTTCCCGCATCTCTGCATCCCTAGTGGAGCCCAGGTGTGGGACAGAGGCATGGTGGGTGGTTGGGTAGGGAGTGAGACCTCAGACGCCCCAGAGACCACCCTGAAATCAAGAGAGAAGGAAGCAGAGGCGGGGATGGTTCTAGACCTCACGTGTAGTGAACGTGCCTGGCAGGGGCTTTCCAGACGCCCAGCAGCCGCCGTGGCTCACCTTGGCCCTGGGCCTGAGGCGGAGGACCAGGGTCCAGGGGATGTCTCCCAGCCTTCCTCCCCGAGCCTGCAGCCGACGCCCAGGGCAAGCTCGGCCTCTAGGAGCAGCTATGTGCTCCTTGTGGAGCAGGAGGCTCTGCAGGCCCCGGGGACAGGCTGCCCTCCTCCAGAGCCACAGCTCACCGGCCTGGCCCTGGAGGAGGGAAGCCCCGGGCCTCCCCGCGTTGGTGCAACATCCTGTGCGTTTCCCTGTGGCGCCAGGTGTGGGCTGAGGGAGGCTGGCGGGGCTCAGGTCCCCGGAGTGGAGATGGAGGAGACGCTAAGCACAGAGGATGAAGGCACGAGGACGCCGCCCGAGGCTTTCCTCACCTTAGAGAGCCTGGGGCCGCCCAGCCCGGAGAGCACAGGACGGGAGCAGGGCCTGAAGACCCCCGAGGCCGTGGAGGACCCGGGAGAGGGGACCGGAGGGCGCCCGGAGGGCTGCGCCTCTGCAGGGGCGGTGCGGGACCCCTGCGCCCTGGCCCTGGCTGGCAGGAACACGCACCCGCTGCCCGCCCCACCCCGCCGGCGCCCCAAGATGGGGCTGGAGCCGAGGAAGCGCCTCACGTTCCTCAAGGTGACTTCCCTCAGGAAGGGCAGGCCGCTGGCCTCGAGCCCAGGAACAGGTCCGCCTCAGGACTGGACCACCGAGGGCCCAAGCTCCCCAGCACCGAGCCCCGCGGCCACCCCTGGCGGGGCCCCGGGGCTGCTGGACCCAGAGCATGGGGGGATGGCAGGGGACCCTGGGAGCAAACGACTGTCCTCTGAAAATTGCAATGCAAAAAGACTCAAAACAACAGAAAACAGGTTCCGGGCCAGGTTGGCCTTAGCTCAGAAGACTTTTTCCAATTTTTTTGAGCCAAAAGTTCTAGAAAAAGAAAAGCTGGAAGAACTTTCTCCCGGTTCGCCCAAAGGCGAGATGGAGAAGAGCTGGCAGCGTCTGAGCCCCTGGCGCGCACTCCTGAAAAGCAGGGACGCCGACGGCCCCCAAGGCCTCTCTGCGACTGCGCCTCCCTTCTCAGGACCCGAGGTCTCGCATGCGCTCGGGTCTCCCTCCCCAGTGGCCAGCAGCGGCTCCGAGGAGTGGGCCCAGGACCCCGAGAGCTGCGACTGCACAGACTGCTGGACGCCCCCACACTCCCGTGCGTCTTTGGCACCCAGCAAGTTGGTCTTTCCAGAACACAGGAGGAAAAGTGAGCCAGCCATCAAATGCACGTCCCGCCAGGGGGGTGGCAGGTACCTCCCTGAACAGGGCTGGCTGATGTCCAGCCCTGGGGCCCAGCAGCCTGACATCAGCTGCACCCTCCCCTGTGGCTCGGCCTATTGTTTGGCCTATGAAAACCAAGTCATGCCCTGCAGGCCCCTGAGCCCCAAGCCCAGGAGCCCCAGGCTCTGCTCACAGCAGACAGACTTTGGCTACCAGGGCAGAACCAGCGCCGTCTCCATGGTTTCTCTTGGAAGCTATAGCGAAGCCCACAACTGTTCCCAGGCCTCTGAAAGGCCCAGGACTCCCAAGTCCCGAGCAAGCCTCCTGCTTTCTCTGCAGACACTAAACCAGGAGGACCCAAGGGAAGAGGATAGGAGCAGAGGCCAGCGCCATGCCCGCCTGAGCCCAGCACCCTCTCTCAGAGACCTTCCTGGGAGCGAGGTAAGTGGCCGGCTGACTGCACACACCCTGTTACTTCTTAAGGAAGGAAGAGGGAAGTACAGTCAGGTCCGACTTAAGGTGAAATCGAACAATCCTTGATAGCATCAAAAACTATGTTAAGGTCCTCATGGTAACAGTGAGATTGTATGAAATAAGAGATGGGGCTAAATTGGAGCCATAAGATTCCTTTCTTTGGACTTCAGCTTGTAAACAGATTGATGAAAGGCGGTCTGGCTACTCACTACACAAAGGAAATGGAAGACTTCTTTAGATCTGTTGGTGGGCTGATGTGGTTACTCTTCATTAGCATGGGCAAGATTTCAAAAGATATTCTTTATTGCATGTTGGCCTCCTGGCCTTGCACTTGGTGGAGGAAAGGGCAATCATCTTTACTCAGGAACCGTGGGGTTACTATTCATGGTGTTGCAGGAATGCATAATGGTTTGTTCCCAAAGGAACTATGGAAGTCCAGGGACTGTAGGTGCTGAGTTTCTGAGAAAGAACATGATGACATAGAAGAAACACATGCCAGCTCAGACAAACAGGCCAAATTCACCCTGTGTTATAGTCCTGGACAAACATTTTAAAAATGATGAACATGTCTACCTACAGAGCTGAATAGAATTTAACCCCAGTGGTTCAGACAGCAGTAGGGACACAGAATGAAGTCAGAGATGCCAAGCATTTTTATCCTGGTTTAATCATCCATCAGATATCTGCAGGCTAGAATGAAGACCTGGTGTTCCTAGCAAAAAAAAAAGCTTCAAGGGCTGGGAAGGTGGCTCAGTGGTAGAGCGCTTGCCTTGCATGCTCGAGGCCCTGGGTTCCATTCCTCAGCACCACATAAGCAAAAAAAGAAAAAAGCCGGAAGTGGCTCTGTGGCTCAAGTGGTAGAGCGCTAGCCTTGAGCTGAAGAGCTGAGGGACAGCGCCCAGGCCCAGAGTTCAGGCCCACGACCAGACCCCCCCCCAAAAAAGGTTCAAGTTTTTGCAAAGGAATCTAAGTGACTATTATCATAGCCCTCATCTTAGAGGTATTATTTCTTATAAGCTTGTGTAAGAAAATAATGTATTGATCAGCTATATGACCTCCAATATAAGTGATTTTTTTTTCTCTGTGTGTTTGTGGCCCCATGGCTTAAACTGAGTCTCTAGTGCTGGCTCAGCTTGATTGCCCACACCTTGTGCTCTACCATTTAAGCCATGCCTCCAGTCTGGTATTTTGCTAGTTTAACTGGGGATGGATTCTCTCAGACATTTTTGCCCTAGCTAGCTTGAAGCTGGGTTTCTCAGATCTTAGCCTCCTGTGTAGGTAGGATTACAGGAGTGAGCCTGGTTTAAAATGAGTGGTTCTTAAGTTAAATGAGAGCAAGTGAAGCTAGAAGGTTGTTATTCAGGTTTTTCTTAGGTAACAATGCATCCTTTTCTTTGTTTGTCATCTGTGTTGCCAGCCCACATCAATTTCAGTTCAGTTCAATCATAAGAGGCTGCTTGTGTGTGGACATCCTAGCCTTATGGTCTAGCCTGGTGCATGACAATGCTTTTGAAAACTTGTATCTAATGGGTAGCAAGTTAAATGCCCAGAACTTATCTGCCTTCTATCCCCTCACTGCTGGTCTTGATACCGGAGGAGGACTAAGTTAGACAGGAATTTTCAGTAGAGGAAAGGAAAAGTAAGAAGGCCAAATAAATTGCATAAGTTACTCTCTCAGAATGCTTCCCTCCCCATCCACAATGCAAGTGACCAACCTGTTGAAATTTACCAAACCAGCAAGGAAGAACTGACATTTCACTGTAATTTTCTTTCTTTTTTCCCTATACAAGTCAAGCCACTTGAATCTCTTTTCTATCAACTGTCTCCTTGTCTTCGTCTACTTTTTTTTTCTATGCCAATACTGGGCTTGAACTTAGGACCTGAGCACTGTCCCTTAGTTGTTGTTGTTGTTGTTTTTCATTCAAAGCTGGCACTCTACCACTTGAGCCACAGCTCCACTTCCAGCTTGTTGGTGACTAATTGGAGACAAGGGTCTGATGGGTTTTCCTGTCTGGGCTGGTTTCAAACCAGTCCTAAAAGCTCAGCCTACTGAGTAGCTAGGATTACAGGTATGAGCCATTTGTTCCTGATTTCTTTGTCCATTTTCTGTTGGGTGGTTGACACAAGTGTTTGTCAACCTAGCCCTCCAAAATTTCTCTGTGTCTTCCAGTACTTTATTGATATCTTAATTATATCTTAAATCAGATCCACTTGGACCTATTTTTTTCCTAAGGAGTAAAGTAGGAGTTATTGATACTTCTGGAATCTCAAAGAAAAGAAAGGGAGGGGGGAGGAAATAAACATGGAAAGAAGGAAGGAAAGAAGAGAAGAGAAGAGGGAAGAGATGAGATTTGTCCCCTAGCTCCCACTCAGGACCAGGTAGCAAGGTACAGCAGATCTGGGAGAGACATATAAGGGGTTTTCATGAGTCTGGCTTCCTGGGAAGAAAGGAGCCATCCCAAAATAACAGAAAGGAGTATACTCTCCACATTATGAAAGTATGTCTCCTATTGCTGTTCAGACAACACAGTATGGGTACAGAAGGCTGGGTTTGCAGAGTCTGCCAGGGACCACCACCTGGTCCATACTAGGAGCCCCATATTCCATGTGTTTATCGGTGCTGAGGGTGCCTCTGTCCAGGTCCCCCTTCTGCAGGTGTCTGCCATCCATGGCGCTCCAGCTGTGTGCCTCCTGATCCAGAGCACACCCACAGCCAGGGCAGCTGGCATGGGTGATAAGTACAAAGGAGAGAGCTGGGGCAGGAATGGCTTTCCAGCACTGACTCCTAGGACAGTGGAAAAAAGTAGAGACCATCAAATGTAATCAGACCCTCAGAGATTTGCTTCATCTTACTACACCTAGCTTTTCATCTTCAAAGGGTTTAAGTATTAACTGGAAAAATTTTCCCCATCTTGAATGTGTACTTTTTTTGTGTACTGAGGTTTGAACTTGCAAGGTACTGTCACTGGCCTCACTGCCAGCCCTTTTTGCGCTGGTTATTTTTCAGGTAGGATCTTGTTTTTTGCACATGCCAGCTTGAATACAATCCTATTTACACTTCCCTCCATATCTGGGATGGCAGGTGTGTATCACCATGACCAGTTTTTTCTGTTGACAGGTTGTCTCATGACTACATTTTTTTGCCTAGGCTGGCCTGGAGCTGGAGTCTTCCATGTCAATCTCCTGCATAGCTGGGTGACAGACATATATCACCACACCTAACAGTTGTGATGGAGATGGAGTCTTCCAAGCCTCTTTGTTCTCACTGACCTTCAACCCGATTTCTGGTGCTTGTCTGTGCTTGACTGTTACTTGTTTTTTTTCAAATTGTTATTTCTACAGCAAAATGTCAGACAGACTTGATACAGAAGGGAAAGGGTTCTCTCCATAACTCTGCAATCCTGGTCCATGAAGGGACGTGGTTAGAAGCTTAACTGACAAGTCACAGTTCTCCAGAGACAGAGACCCAGCAGCACACACAGCTGGGAGGAGAGTTGGTAATGGAATTGCTTGTGCAATCAAGGAAGCTGACAAGCCCTAGAGAAGATCAAGTGCAAGCAAGAAGCCCTGGGATGCTGGTAATGTGGCTGAGTCCACTTAGAAAGCCACAGCACCTGGAGAGCTGACAATCTAACTCTCAGTCTCAGCCAAAGGCCTGAGAAAGGAGTCAGGAAGGGCTGGTGTAAGTCTGACAGTCCAAAAACCTGAGACCACATCAAGGAATTCCTCCTCCTGTAATCCACTCAGGCTCATGTTCCAGCCTCCTCTAGAAAAATGTACACAGCTATACACAAAGTAACACTTTACCATATGTTGGTTTTCATCAATTTAACAGCTAAAATTGACTGTCACAGTATGTTGGTGGATATTAATATTCTCACACAGCTGGAACCTAGAAGGGAGTGACAATGTGGGGGTAATTCCTACTGTGTCACTCCATTGCTTTCTTGTTTGCTTGGTAATACAGCAGGAGCATACTTCTACCAATTTACTTACGTGGTACTCTAGACCTTGTGGACTACTTCATTTATGGACGATCTGTATTTCATGTTTTCCTTCTTGATGAGCACCGAGGTTACAGAAGGCTGCATATCGTCCTTAAACGCCTGCTCTCAGGTTTCAGTACTTTCACTTCTGTAGGCGGTTAAGACATTGCATAATCTAACTCTGCGTGTATTTTTAGTTGATTTCAGATTATTTTCTGTAGTGATAATGGCAGTTAACCCTGAAAAGCAGGATATGAATAACTATTTTCTGATATCTTTTCAGCTCTCGTTACCTATTGCCCTTTTAAATTTTGATTATCTGAAATACACAGAGAACTTGATTTAGAAATCAAAAGATACCAGATGTTATTAGGCAGGCACTGGTGGTTCACACCTGTAACCCTAGCTACTCAGGAGGCTGATCTGAGGATCACGGTTTTGAAGCCAGCCTGAGCAGGAAAGTCCATGAGACTCTTATTTCCAATAAACCACCAGAAAACTGAAAGTGGTGCTGTGGCTCTAGTGGTAGAGTACTAGCCTTGGGTTAAAGAGCTGAGGGACAGCGCCCAGGCCCAGAGTTCAAGCCCCACGACCAACAGTAAAAAAAAAAAAAAAAAATTAGATGTTAAGTAACTTTCAGGGTAAAAGTTAAAATGTAGTTAAAGAGATCACGCATTGTTTGAATAATTAAGGCTGCTAAATAGTAGTAATGTGTCCATGTGTAAGCCTACAGTACTCATTCGCCCACACACACACACATACACTGATGCAGAGAGACATTCCTGGAGGTTGTCCCTGTACTCAGGCGAGCCTTGTGTTGGAATGGGGGGAGGAGGAAGTCAGGCAAAACCCTGGACAACCCATATGTGTTTTGTTTTTTTAAGCAGTACACACTGTTGAGTATAAAACACCTAGCAATGGACCAGCTTGAAGCTGTGTCCAATAAATATTAGCTCTTGTTCCTCTTTCACTTATGCTTGC